GGGGGGGGCCGCGGACGCACGCCAGAAAAAGTAAGAACCCCACACAAAGATGTGGGGGAAAAACGACAACAGGAACCCAGGGATAAGGATTTTTAAACGGGGTTATTATACAGCCCCAGGTGAGGCGGAGTAGTCTCGGGGATACCTGCAATACGTCTTGGAGGTGTGGTCTAAGCCACGGCGCAATGATAGCGCCAACTCCTGCGTAACGGTTTTGCTTGGTACCCGAGAGAATCACCAAATAGCCCTCGGATTGATACGAGTAGTAGGAGGTTTTTGTTGTTTCTGTGATGATCAAGACACCAAGATTATGTTCCTGCATGATCTGAATGGAGGCCTTTAGCTTAAGGGTTTCGGCGAGACCTTGTACATTTAAGCAAGCAAATCTGAGGCACTGACCGTAAGCTAGAAGTGGTGTGGTCGGAAAATTTACCCAATGATGGGATCTTTTTCGCTTGAGTTGCCTTTGCCAAGAAATGGCTTGTCGCTCGGGACTGAGCGGCTTTTTTGGGACGGGGACACGCAAAGGGGCGGGGTCCCACCCTTAACCCCCGGGCACACGCGGTACTCCCTCCTACGGAGTCTGCGCTTGGCGCCCCTAGACCTTGCCTTTGCGCGCTCCCTTGTTGGGGTGCACTCTTCGTTACCCTGCATGAGGGAACCCGGCGTGCCGCGTGGCGGCGGTGCTCGGCTGCTGATAGTGTGTTTGATTTCGCGAATTCCACGAGGTTTTCCCGTAAGGAAAGAAGGTTTACCATTTTCTAGGAAAATTTTACGACGGCGACCCGAACGATGCCTCGACTGTGTTGGCGGTGTGGTCTGGGAAAGCTGAGGTAAGGCTGGGGAAGGGGCTGGGGTAGTGCAGAGTCCTCGATATTGCAAAAGCAGCTGCCTACTATATGTGAGCGGTATGATCTCTTCCAACGAAACAGAAACCGAAGCCTTAAGCAAATCCCCTTCCCAATGAAGCTGCAGCGGAATGTTGCCGTTCACAATGTGCATGTATTTGTTATGTTTGGCAAAAGAATTCCAGGCTTGAGGGGGAGGCTCCAGGAACAGAAGAAAAAAGTGCCTTAGTGCAGGACAACAACAACTACTGTTACTCGGGCACCTTGTTGGGCGGTTTGGTCGCCCTAGCCAGACACCTGTCGCTCCTAAGCGGTGGCAGCATGCTCTCGTTGTGAGAGTTTCAAAACCGAGAGCTACCGGCCAAAAAAGAGGAGCCTCACACCACCCAGTGAAAAGCTTCAAAGGGGGCGGTGTGATCAGGAAGATCAGCTCTTCCCACGACCAACCAATTGTAGCGTGGTGGTCCCGAGATGGCTTTGTGAAAATTCGGAGGCCGCCCCATCAGTTCGACTTTGCTGCTGGCTTTCCAGAACGACCGCCTTTGTGGCCACTGCCTCGGCCCCATGCTGTGCCACGGTCCTCCTGCATTTCAACATCGTCCGAGTGGAGGAACGGGTCTGGCCCTGGGTCTGCGGTGTGTTCTGGGGCTGCCGGCTTCCCACGGTAGGTGCTGATGGCATAGTCCCCAACCTTCTCTGCTGTCTTTCCCTTCTTGTCACAATATTCATCCCAGACAAAGGCCACCTCATCGACTTTGGTCAGAGTCAAATTGAAAGGGTACGGGCAATAATAGCTGTTCCAGATCACCGTGTTGCTCCAGTGCTTCTTGCCCTTGCCCTTTGCAACTCCCTTCCCAGACATTGCGGACTCTTGCAAAGCTGTACGGGCTGCGGTTTGGTCGGCCTGGTCCAGCTCATATTGTGCTCCCCAAACCTTATTGTTCCAGGTCTGGGTCCACAAAGACTCCGCTGCTTCCCCCACCTCTGTGGGGGGGACTCCATGAGGCGTGCCAGCTCGGGCACCACTTCCAGGCGACCCACGAAATCGCCCCGGTCCTGGAAACAGAACAAACGGGCCCAGACCTTGGCATCTGGATCGAACTCGTCGTCGTCTTTCGGTGCCATCACAGTCAGAGTTTTGCACAAAATCGTCATCTTGTTCCCACCGGCGGTGTAGTCAGGGTGGTTGTCGATCATGGACAAGATGATGCGAAGCGGCAACTCCAACTTGCGCTGTCACTGAGGACTCGACGGGCTGACCCGAATGTGCTTGCCATGCACAGGGGTGCTCTCGTCTGAGTACAGTGGTGTCCCAGCACTGCCACCAAACTTTTCCATGAAGGCCTGCCGAGTATCCCAGCTTTTGAACGACAGGAGGGTCATCGTTGAGAGGAGGTCGTTCTGCTGCGGCATGGTCGTGGGGTCTTGTGTTAGTGCATTGATATACCTCGGCATTTCATGGGCGGTTTGGTCGGTGATGAAGCCGCGGAACTTCAGGAAGTCGACAATACGCGGGCATTGTGCCAACATCCAGCCCACCATGAAAATACGCTGGTCCGGCTTCATGAAGTTCGGCCACCCAGAAGTCAAAACCTGCAGTCCAGCCTGATGCTTTTGCGCAAGGCGGTTGTCCGCCGAAAGCCACTGCAGCTCCTGTCTGGCTTTGAACACCGACTTATCCACTGGCTTCAAAGCCGCCTCCAGTTGCAGGACCAAATTGTACATCTCAGGAGGGATAACTGCACGATGGTACGACCTCACCATCTCAAACACCTGCTGGTTGTTTTGCACTGGCTTGGCCAAACAGTTCTTGATGGCGGTTTGGTCGTTGATATCCACGCCATGAGTAGCCGCTGTAAGTCCCACTGCAGTGCTGTCCTCAAAAGAAAAAGGCTGCAACAGGGAAGGACCATCCTCCGATGCCCCTTGCGGTGGCGCCGTTTGGGAGGATTGGCCTCCTCCTTGCGGTGTGGTCAGGCCCGACTGCAAAGGTGTCGGGGCCGACCTCTTGTTGCGCCGTTGCTGCTCCCAAAACTCCTGCTGCACGGCGGTGTAGTCAGGCCTGCTGAAACGACCACGCATATCCTGAAACTGCTGCATAGCGCCCTGATCTGCAGACATGGCTTCGAAGCAAAATGCTCTGGAAAACTACTCTACCTGACCACTCGCCTTAAGCAGTGTGGTCAGAGACCTGCAAGCGTGCAAAACAATCTGGGCCAATACGCCTTGTACTATACCTTAGCATACTAAATCATACTATGCGACATTATTTTATGTTGAGGTATTTTGTATTATGTCATGTTGTTACTCTATGTTGCTATGCTATGCGATGTTGCGTTTTGCCGCGTGGGGTTGTGTTGTTCTGTTACATCATGTTATGTGTTACAGCGTGCTTTGATTTGTTGGACCATGTTACGTTACGACATGGTATGGTGTTGTGTGCTGTGTTTTGTTGTCTTGTTATATCATTTCATTTTATATTAGTATATGTCATAATGGGTTATGTTACTTTAGACTGTGCTCCATTGGCTTTGCTATTATTGCACTAGTCTGGGTTTTCATTATGACCTCATTTTATTGTGTTATGTTGTGTTCTATTGTCGCGTTATGGTACGATGGTTTATGCTATATTGTACTTTACATAACATTTCGCTCTAGAGTACTATGTGATATTGCATCAAATTGTACATTGTGCTGTTTTATGTTATGTTGGGTTGTGTTTGGGTGTCCTGCTATGCTTTGTTATGTTTTGCTAATATATGCCATGTTATATTGAAATATCGTTAATAATGTTGTATTGTACTGTAACATTTTGGGCTAGGCCTAGGCTTTGTTGCTTTGTTTTGCTAGATGTGTCATACTTTTTAGGGTTTTTGCATTGTATTCTATTTAAGTAATATTTTATGTTGCTCTACTGTGTTATAGCACATTATACTACATTCTTTGTTCTATTCCTATACAGTGTCAGATGTTACATTATGTTAGTTTCGTGCAATAGAGGATCTTATAGTCTGTTTAAGTTATGCCATGCTGCAGCAGATTACGAGTTTTGTTAGCACATGATACTTCATCTTCCTACGTTATAGGGCCTTGTAAAAATTTGTTGTTACATTGTCGTCTGGTATGACACTGTGCTATAGTCTGTTATATTACACTACAGTCACTACAGCATTTTATGTTATAGGTTTTATTAACGGTTTTATGTTGTTCAAATCGACTTTCGTTTGGTTCAGACCTATTGTGTTCTCGCCGTGCAGTCTGAGATTACAAAACGTATTTTGCTTTGCGGGGTATGTTAGTTTAATGTTGTATAGTGTCATTCACGGCATATCCGATATAGAAGAGGTTGCAAAGAACATCGCAGATTATAAGACTAAGCTGCTCCTATGAGGTTTAACGGCTTTGCTTTTAGCAAGGAAGATACGGTAAAGGAAATAATACGATAATGTTTTAATTTTGGCTGGTTGGTTGGAGAGGCAGGGGTTAATATAATACAACCACGGAAGAACAACCATGGAAGAGATTATGGAATATGTAGCTTATGTATGTTCCCTAGCATAGAAGCAGCTATAATATGCATATTATAATGTTATGATTGTATCAAATGTATTATCTTTAGAGAATTTTTTCACAAGAAAAAAATGGTCGAAATAACATATATGTGTACATATATACAAACAGATATATATATATATATTAACAGGGAAATGTTCACTCAGAAAGAACAGGATGAACTGATTAATAGCTTCTTGGATGTTACCAAGGTTAGCGACTACTTGAAGAAACTTAGGGAACTCACCAAAATTGCAAGTGCAAGGATTGTAAGACATACAATCGCTATTGCACTCTATGCAAACTGCCACCACCAGAAAGTATTTTTTGATAATATTTATGGCTTTTGCTTATCGGTGCAGTAGGTGTGAAAATCGCCATGGAAAGGAATACACATCAGAGACCGTTATCAACGATGATATAATACATCGGTATAATGCTGACAGGATTATTTTCGCAGTTAAACATAACTTTCCCAGTTACAAGTTACAACTGGGCTAAGCTTAGGCTGTTCAAGACTATGGCAAAAAAGGAGACATGAACTGTTCAGTGAGATACACAATGAACTTATGTTTACTAAACATATTGATGTTCTAGATCAGACACACAGAATGGGTTTTAATCCGAGGTCAGTGGTTAGGGACTTTAGCAAAATCTTAAGAGCGCGTATGAACAAGCCTAATGTTGACTTATGGATCACACAAACATAACATTGTTAATATTATGATGCTATGGTTGGTGGTCATCCTGTACCCCAATCATTCAATCACTTGATTTTTATTTTGTTTTTAATCTGTTTTGGTTGTTTGTTTGTTTCTATACAAGTTTTTCATGGTTTTTCAATGTTTTTGTGAGGTAAACTCATGGTAATGCCGATGTGTCCTTGAGGTCGCGCGGGTGTGACCTTGAGGTCGCTTGGGTGTGTCCTTGAGTTCGTGCGGGTGTGGTCTCAAGTTCGCGCGGGTGTGGTCTTGAGTTGGCGCGGGTGTGGTCTAGAGGTCGCTCCTCGCTTTACACCAACAGCAGCATAATTATACTGTAACTATATTACATAAGCAGTTATGTATTGTAATTACATTAGAGTCATGTACATCTCTTAACCCCAGGTCATGAACCAAATTCAATTTGCGTAAGGAGACCCTCGGCGCCGTGGCCTGTTTGAGCTATGGCACTGATGATTTTTTTGGGGTGCAGGGAAGGCGGGGAAGTGCTAAAGCCCAGACTGCTGCTGGTTCAATTCCTGTGCAGTTGCCGCGCCCGGCTCCCAGAACAGGCTCATTCCTTTTTTTGTTGCGGCCAGAAAGATCGATTCCGTCAGCTTTCAATGCCATGTGCACTGGCTCTGGCAGTACGACTGTGGCAATCGTGGTTCTGGATCTGGTTGGTTTGTTGGTGATGAAAGCACTTCATGACGGCGTACATGAACTCGTTGATGTCTTGCAACTTCGTCGATTGTTAACCTTCATGTGTTCTTGTTATTTTACACCACAAGCAGTATATGCTCCGATGATGCAAGGAACTAGACCCGTAAACTGTGGAGTCGAAGAGCTGTCCAGGAACTAGCAGGCATCGGCAATCGGAGTTTGGTCCACGCTCTCAGCTGCCTTCGGCGGAAGTGTTGGCGCATTTATCGGCGGCTGGGCGAAGGTTACTATGACAGAGCTCTGCACTGTGTTTATTTAATTTGTTGAACGTAGTTATGGTCATAGTTGTCGTTTGTTCTCTTTCCCTCTCTCTCTGTCTCTTGTTCCTCTCTTTCTGACTTCTTGTTGAGCTTGCGTTTTCATTGTTCGCGTTTCTTTCCCTTGCAAGTGTTGGTAACTACGCTCCTGACCGTCCAGATTGTGAGAGCGTGCGTCAGGTAGCCAGTGGCTACCAGAAACACAACAAATCCGTGATGCATCAGCTTGGGGAGCTCGACAGCTGGACGATTTGTCGCTGTCTTTGGAACAATTTTTGGACAGCTGTGGCAAGGACTTCAGATGACTTCCAATCCAGGTCTGGCCCAACGAAAGTGTGGATGTAATGGTTGGGTCCATGCCAAAATACCAACAGACATGCCAATGTGGATGTGTTCAATCGATGCCGAAATGGTTTTTGGCGGAGATCGCGGTCCCGAGCTTGACCAAGTTGGGCAGTTTCTTGTAACTCTACAGATTCAGGAATTCAATTTGTGCAATTTCCCACGCATACGTTGACAGAAAATCCAAGCATGCTCGGACTGCCGCTCAGTCTCGAACATTTTCGAATGGCCGTCCATGCTTCGTGACTCCCTGCTGGGATGTAAGTCACGGCTGATGACCAGCACGCTGTCGATCCAAGCTGCCAACAGTTGAGAGGCCGATGGATTTGAAAATCTGCTGTGAATGCTTCAGGCTCGTTTGCCCGACCGGGCTTCACGAAGCACGGAAAGGCTTCTGAAGATGCCAGCCGTTGGCACAAAACCTGAGGTGCTTCCGACTCAGATTTGAGAGTGTTCGCCTCTGCAGGATGCCATATACGGGAAATGATTTAATTTTCGAAATATTTTTCCAAACTTCCAAAATACATTTACGAATTGAAATTCTCTGTTTTTTAATTTACAAAATAAATACCAAAAGAAAACGGCCGGCGAAGCCTGCGGTTCCTCTCCGGGCCACCCGAAATGCCAGATTTTGTAAATACCTGGTATTTGTGGAGGATTTACAAGCAATTTACGAAAAAAATACAAACAATTTACGAAATTGGTTTGCAGTTTTTGTAATTTGTTTGGTAAATATTTTGCAAGCCGTTTTTGAGTTCGTAAATCCAAATTGAAAATAGTTTGAAAGCTTTTCGAAAATAGCATCACTTGAAAACTCTCAAATTAAGAGGCAACCTGAGGACGAAGAAAGCACTCAACTACTTTTTTGCGGCACGACCCGACATCTTCATCCGGTGGCAACGTCTTTGGAGCACTTGCTTATCGAAGTAATATTATACGTATGAGGGAATGATTTGCGGAGTCCAGGCCGGAGAGAGATTCGCTAACTACAAAGAATTTCGCTCAGTGACCTCCAAAGGCTCGCTGTGCTGTTGGATCTGAACTACAGGCTGCGCCACAACCTCCCTCCGCACATGCTAACCTCCTGGTCCAGCCAATGCCACCTAGCTGCGGGCAGTCGCGGACCGAAAGAGCTGATACCATCATCAGCCGAAGCAAGCTTGAAGTCATGGAAAAGAAGAGCAAAGCAAATGCTGTCCCACCTCAAGCAGCAGAGCATCGGCGCACGTGCTTGTACGTCGCAGGGCCAAGACCTGGAGGTCCCTGCGGCTTTAAATTAAAGCCGTGGCGCTAATTTGCGACCGTGGCTTTAATTTGCGACCGTTGCTTTAATTTGCGGCCGTTGCTTTAATTGCACAGGGCCCCGGAACGGGGCCCCTAAAGAAAGCCATATATGGCTTTAATTGCTGGACACTCAAAGTTTTGGACGAGCCTTTCATGTAGTTTTTCATATATGG